AAAATTCCTCATACCTAAACCACCCAAGCATCCACAAAACAGACCAAGTAATGCTGTCCAACAGCTCACTGATGGTGGCCCTTTAGTTCATTGTTGAATGCGATTATAGCTCTGGGATTAAAAACTATTCAGAAGATGTTGGTCCGAGTTTTAATTGTTCTGTATCTTCTGCCAGAAGGCAACATTGCAAAAAGATCGTAAGCAGGATCAGAAGAGTCTCTGAAAATGTTGTGCGACTTCCTCAAACAACGAGGTGAAGATGTCATCCCGGGCTGGTAGCTGGACGCTGATATTCTGGGCAGTTTTAATGATTCTCTGTAGAGATTTTTTGCCTGCCGCAGAGCTGCTCCCATACCATGCAAGAATACCATATGTCAGGACACTCTCAATGGTGCTGCGGCAGTGGTGAAGTTCAATTTTTTTACTACCGGTTCTGTGGGCATGGCTTGGTGGGTGTGATGTGGCTTGGTGGGCCTAGCAGGGGAGGGATACTGCAAAATCTCCATTCCCACCCCACTCTGGGGCAGCCAGAGGTGGCATTTGCCGATTCTCCGAAATACTCAAAATTTCCACTACCAGTTCTCCAAACTACTCAACATTTCTGCTGCCGGTTCTCCAGAACCTGTCAGAACCTGCTGGATTTCACCACTGTGCTGTGGTAGTAGGACAGAAGTAGATGCTGGGATAGATTTATCTTCCTGAAGATTCTCAGGAAGTACATCCTCTTCAGTGCCTTCCTCGCAAGCATATTAGCCTTCGTAGTCCATGAGTATAAGTGGCATAAGGGTTGATTTATTCTCTTTTTCTTTCTAACCTAACAATATTACAAAGAAATTATGCAGTAGGGCTTTGGTAAATTGTGTCCATCTTCTCTGTCAGCAGTTTGAAAACGGGCCAATCAACCCAGTTTAAAGAAAGATGGAAATAACAACCCAGCAAATTCCTACAAGAAAGATGATTGGGTGGAACTTCAGAATATTTATGACTGCTCTATTCTAATCCCCTAAATTGACTCAGGGCATACACATATTTCCCTGTTTCACACTGCACACATATAAATCCAAAAATATACACACCCATGCAATACATCGGAATTCATTCTGATTAAAACCTCACAGACTGCAGGCAATGCATATGCACAATTCTTAGTATTTCCTGGGAGGAATGTGCATACATTCATGCCATCACATGCAATGAACGTTCCTTCATGCTCACAGTTATTATGGCCACTGAAGCCAAATAAATTAGAGAGAATTTTAGAATTCATCCTCAGTGTGCATTCCCTATCTTGTTAATTTTCACACTTTCATAGGAACAAGGTGGCGAGGATTTACACAAAGACACCAATAAAGTGGTTTAGAAGACAGGCAAGAACTTGAAATAGTTTATTATTTTTTCTAGAGTGAATTGGAGTTATGTTAGAAGAGAGAGTGGTATAAATGCTTATTTTACTTACCACTCCAGAAAACAGGTTTGTCTGGTTTGTATTGTTTCAAACTCTCTAAATGTGTATTGGAGATAATAAAATACTTGTGCTGTGGAATTGGAAATGGGAAAGTAAGCATTCGTTTAAAAAAAAAAAACTTTTAAATTCCGATGCACTGCAATCCATTCCATAGGATTTGTTTTTAGGGAGAAATTGAAATCTCATACTTATTGATCTGGGAAAAGACTGAAGTCAGTGGGACTTTGCTTTGAATACACCTGCATAGAATTCATTTCTATCAGTGTTGGAAAAAATTATTTAAACCGGTAACCTCAGCAACTTTAAAGTGGGTGGATTTCAATTCTCAGAATTCCTCAGCCAGCATGCTGGCTGAAAAATTCTTGGAGTTGAAGTCTACTCACCTTAAAGCTACTGAGGTTGAGAAACTTGCTTAAAACTGTGGTTTAATCATAGCAAGAGTTTTTCATATCAGCCCATCCCACCTATTCAGGTAGAAAAGATAAGTTATGTCACTTTGACTGGCAGGATCCAGGAACTTATTTGCTATTGCTCCCACTCTCTGGAATACTTTTCATCCAGAGGTCTTTGCTCTCCTGACCTTTTGAAGGGGGCTCACACTAAGCAGGAGGTGGTTGGTACCTTGGCAGCCTATCTTTTACTTTTTACCTTATTTATTATTTTATTGATATGTATTTTATATGGTTCAGGGACGCAGTGGCTCAGTGGCTAAAACACTGAGCTTGTCGATCAGAAGGTCGGCAGTTCAGCAGTTCAAATCCCTAGTGCCGCGTAATGGAGTGAGCTCCTGTTACTTGTTCCAGCATCTGCCAAACTAGTAGTTCAAAAGCACGTAAATATGCAAGTAGAAAAATAGGAACCACCTTTGGTGGGAAGGTAACAGCATTCCATGCGCCTTCTGTATTTAGTCATGCTAGCCACATGACTACGGAGACATCTTCGGACAGGGCTAGCTCTTCAGCTTAGAAATGGAGATGAGCACGCTGTTAGAGCCGGAAATGACTAGCATGCATGTGTGAGGAGAATCTTTACCTTTACCTTTATTTTATATGGTTCTTATTCTTATACATTTTTACATGTAATAGTACACTACCGAGAATAATTTTGTGAGTCAGATGGGCAGTATCTAAATGATGGGTGGGTCATAAAAGAGTGGACAGACTAAATATGCTTCTGTGGAAAGGAAATGGTAGTTCACTCCAGTATTTTTGTCAAGAAAATTAAAGGTATGTACGCAACAGGGATTATGTCATCACTGTATTTTGAAGAAGAGCCTGCCAGGTTGGAAGGCATATAATGAACCAGAAGAGGGCAAATAAAAATAGCCTTGGCACTTAAAATGTGGCTGGATTAAAGGTGAAAAAACAGACAGTGCCAGATGAGGCCAAAAGCAAAAGTTCAATGCTGCAAAGATATGCATAATATTATAATATGGAATATAAAAGCTATGGCGCAAGGTAAACTTGATGTTATCAAGACGGATATTGCATGACTGAACATTGGGGATGTTTAGGGAATCCAAAATCGGAGATAGACTGGAATAAATCACTTTACATCTGAGAAGCATCAGATTGTCTATTGTGGACAGGAAAATCATAGAGGACATGGAGTAACCATTAATATTAATAAAAAGAGGACAAAGTCAGTCCTCAGATACAGCACCCCAAATGACCGAATGATTTCAATATGAGTCCAAAAGAAGGCAATCAAAATACAGAAGAAACAGAAAGGGAACAATTCTATGGCAAACTACCACACCTTGCCAATACAGGAACTAGTAAAAGGATGCAGGAATAGTAGGAGAAAGTTACAAGTAAAATAGTGTTTGTAATAATGTAAAAATTTGGCTTTAGTGTATGAAAATAAGTAGGAGACAGATTAAAAATTCATCAGAAAAATCCATTTTACACTAAAAACCTTTTTCCAATAACCTAAAACTGTGAATTTGCACACGAACCTCAAAACTGTGAATTTGCACATGAACCTCAAACTGATCAACCAATCTGATTACCGTATATACTTTGCAACAAAGATGCTGAAGTTTTAGTTAGCCGGCAAAACCAAAATCTTAATTTACTGCAACTAAGATTGTGAACTCTTCTTTGCAATTATAACTTCAAGAAAACAATTGGTTATTAAGGTACAGCCTACCTGGTCATATCGTAAAGATCAGCAATAGATTTAATGGATTATATTTGATAAACAGAGTACCTCAAACATTGCAAAATTTGTGATATCTTCAGAGATGAAGGGGGGGGGGAAACCTACTCAAAATACAGAAAGCAAAAGGCCAGCAAAAAGACTTTTAACTGATACAGTATATTGAAACTACTGTATCTAAAGAAATCAAAAAGCAGTAGAACCCCCCTCCCCAATAGATGTTGAGTGCCAGAAAAAAGCAGGAAGAAACTACATGGAAGTAGCTAGAAGAAACTACAAGAAGAAACTTGGAGTTATGAATCAGAAATGCAAAGAAATGGAAAGTAATAATCAAATAGGAACAAGAAGATCAAAAAAAGATCCCAGAAATAAAAGGGAAACCTTTATCAAAGATGGGCATGATAAAAGAGACAAAAATGATGTGGAAGTACTAAAGAAATTAATAATATAAAGATATGATCACTAAACTTTTCTTCTGGAAATTAAATCCTAGAAAATTGCTCATAACAACTACCTTCCAAGATTGATGGAACACCAAAGCAGGCTGTTGTAAAACTTTGTAAGCTGATGTAGTTTGAGTATTTCTGGAAGGCTACAAGCAGAAAACAGAACAAGCTTTATTGGTGTCAAATGCCTGTACACTGATTTACTTCTAGGAATTTTTTTTTTTTTTTTGCATGGCAAGATTTCTGTGTATACTTGCTTTCTTTTACAGCACAGTGCTTTAATATGCTTACTGTGCCTTTAAACTTTTTGTGACTTATTTTACCATGTCATCTTTATTTTCCTTTTGAAGGGAGAGTTCCTTTTAAAATAAACTATCGCTTGGCCCTAAAGGATCTGTATTTCCTAAATCCAAACTGATGGGGTTGCCACTGGGTTTTTCAAAGGATGAGATCCTGTACAGTACTGAAGCTTTTCGCTGCCTCGTTTCTGGTATCCTATATTATAATAAGAGAAGCTAGAACAAAACGAGAAAAAAAACCTGCAGCTTTTCCTCCAACGTAACTCCTTCTCCGTATTATTCAACAGGAAATATTTAAATCATATATTTAAATCTGGCCCGCGACAGTCTTACCAATAGGCAAGCAATAAGAATTGCTTAATTTCTGTCTCTATTACAGTAAACTGATTGCCTTCAGTTGGCGTTAAAGACAATCCCCCCCCTCCCCTCCCGCTTCTGGTTGGGCCAGGTAGCGCGGAATGCTGTGTCGTCAGCGGGGAAGGCAGGTGTGGCCAGTCCCTCAAGGCACAAGAAAAGGTACTCCCTTTCAGTGGCCGGCCGGGATTGAGCACGCGCACTAGACAAAAAACGGACCAAAGGCAAAGGGAGGAGGGAAAGGAGTGAGTGAGTGAGAGACGCGAGCGCGCCCCGTGTGCGCGCATAGGCTCAACGCACCAGCTCCTAACTCGGCGCTGAGAGAAGCGTCCTGCAGTACCTACCGAAGATAAACCAAGTTGTCCTGGGGCTGCGCTTTGAAGAGCAGCTCCGGGGCGCGAGAGGTGAGTGCTTTTGGTTACCCGTGGGCTGCAAAGGGATGAGGGAGAGGATGTTCTGGCTACCCCTTCATCCCCTGGCCCCTTGCTGGGTTGCGACACGGCGGGTGCAGGCAGGGAGTGGGGGAACTGAAGTTTTTACTCTAGTCCTAAGGAGGGGGGAGTGCTGGAGATATCCCCTCTGCCCGGGCAAAGGCTGAACTTTCGCGTGGGAAGGAAAGTTTTTTTTTGGGTCGCCTGGCTGAATTCTGCGGCGGTGGCGACAGCGAGCGAGGGTCCCTTGTCTCCGGACCTGGGAGACGCCGGCGGGCCAATAGGAAACGCGGTAGCGGAGACGGGGGGTTCTCATTGGAAGGGGGAGCCGAAGAGTCTGTCCCTTGCCCTGCAGCTCGCGCTGCGGCTTGTCCTCGCGCTTCTCCGGAGGCTCTTGGCAGAGTCGGAGCTGCTGCTGCGGCTGCATCTAGGAAGGAGCCGCGTTGAAGGGACTGCAGTCCTGGCGAAGTCGTCTGCGGCTCGGCTCGGCGGGTCCTGAGCTCCTGCCGCTGCTGCGATGCCCTCAAACTGAAGAGGTCAAACGGAAGCGCGCAAATTAATAAGCCACGACTTTCCTTCTTTCCCTCGCCAGCTTTAGGCACTCCTAGGGCTTAAGAGCAAAGTTGGCAAAGATGTCACGGCTGGTCAAAGGGCTCCTTGGATTGATCTATACTGCGATTGCGCGCAACCGCCAAGTATGTGGAAAGCGACCTGGCCGGGTGTTGCAGCTTTTAAAAAGAGAAAAGCAATCCCGTAATCCACCAATGAACGAACGTGCCTTCTTGGAGAGTTGACATTCATTAGTGGATGTGTAGTGACCGCTGAACTTAGAAGACCCCCTTCACTTATTCCTTTCTTTTCCTAAATGGAAAAGAAATAGAAAAGTCCCAAGAGGAAGGTGCAGCCAAGCTATGCCCTCCGTTGCCAAGAAGTGGTTCAGATTTCATCCTCCTCTTGGACCTCCCTAAAAGCTTTTATTTATCCTGTAAAGCACATCTGCCAAACTTAGATATGCTAAAAGTGCATGTGGCTTATTTATCGGTTCTTCTTCGGTTGCTTTTTGTCATTCGTTTGAAATATTCTCATGGTTTTATTGGGAAAGGCTGAAAGAGGGTCTCAATTTGGATCCGAGAAAGAAAAGTTTAATTTTAATTTTATTTATTTTGTCAAACATGTGTAAGATAACAGATATAAGTATAAACAGGATTATGAATACAGGAAATGGATACGAATAAATTGGGGCAGTAGGACAGCGACGGTAAGCACATGGTGCGCTTATGCACGTTGTTCAACTCAACTTAAAAGTTGAGTTCAAAAGTTCCTGCTTAAACTTTCTGTATAAAGTTGTGTTTTTTACTTGTAGGAAGGCTGCTACAAAGAGAAATTATGGTCTGCGTATGAAAATTTTATCTGTTAGAATCGGTATGTAAAGTAATAAAATATCTTCATTGAGTTCAGTCACAGCACTAAACAAATGAGAAGGTATAATTTCCAGCTAGTTTAGAACTGGTTGTCCCTGTTGATAAATGTTAAGAATGAAAGATCTGTGATTCTGGTCCTGTAAGTTCTCCCACCCCCACCCACCCCTTTTTTGCTGATGTCCTTAATAAAGATTTTGGACAATTTGGTCTCCCTCTGAACAGTTTTTAGCTTTTAGAAAGTTTCTGAGTTAAAAAATGCTGCTGTGAATAATATAATTTCCATGTTCCCCATACTATTCTTGCATCAAATTGCTTGTGTGTAGCTTCCTTTCACCTAGGCTAATTAGGATCAGGTTTACTCATCAGTGATAACCAGGACAGGGTTTGTATTGAACCTGGTTTTAATTAACTGATATTTTATCTCTTCCATCCATGCATTTAATATATGCAGAAAAGCTCAGAGGAACACAGCAAAATTTTAGAACCAAGAATGGAATTTCTAAAGATTGTAGAAGAAAGAGACAATTTCAAGGTGACTTGCTTAGGGCTGTAAACAAGCTTATGAACCAAACTGCAAGATGAACTCTGCTTTGTGTGATGCTGCAGGCTATGGATGATTGTGTGATTAACACAAGTGGCTTGGATATGCTTGCTTGTGTTTAGTTAAGAGAAGTTGTCAGTTGTTGTTCTACATTTACATTTTTCAGAAAGCCAGAAATGCAGTTTTCTGGCTTTCTGAAAAATGTAAATGTAGAAAAGTGTCAGGTTGCACCCTGCATTTCTTTCATATCTAATGAAATGCCCTTTTGTCCTGCAACAGGGTTTCCCAACCTTGGTAATGATAAGACACCTGGACTTCAACTTCCAGAGTTCTAGGAGTTGAAGTCTGTACATCTTAATGATGTCAGTATTGGGAAATCCTACCCTACAGAGACAGTTGTATTTTTAACTCAGATCCCCTGTACCATTTTTAAGCATTCTGCAGTGCTGCAATAGTGAACATAGTAAAGAATAGTGACTTCCAGTAGGATCCTCACAATTGTGCAAACTGCAGGTGGTCCTCTGTAGCTGAATGAGGAGACCAGTAGTGTCTTCAGCTGGCCAACAGGGAAGGAGACTGTAGAAAATGCTGTCTCTTCCCCATTTCTTGCTGTGTTTGTTGAAGAAACCATTCACTCTGCAAAGAACCACAAAAAGTAATTCTGTGATCAACTCAGAAAGTTTGTGTGTGTGTGTGTGTGTGAGAGAGAGAGAGAGAGACAGACAGACAGACAGACAGACACAGAGAGAGAGATTGGGGAGGCCAGGTGCCACTGTTGTGACCAAGACTTTCCGAGAGCATGAAACAAACTCCTTGTCCCAACAAAAAATTTATTAATTTACTGTGAATTCTGCTCATTCACATCCAGCAACGACTTTAAGGGAGTAATTACAGTCACAAACCTTATCTGGCTTGGAGAGCTGACAGACCAATATCTGCAAAATTTGGCAAGGAGTCTTGGAGAGTCACGAACCAATTAAGTGAACTAATTATCTCCAGCAAACCACTCCTCTTTCACTCCTCTTTTATTTTCTCTGGGAGGGACCATTCATCATTTGGCCTTACTCCCAAGTCAATCCCTGTTCTTTAGTTGTTTCCTTCGTCTGGCAACTCTGTGCATGCGCACACTGGGAACAGGCTCCAGCTGTTCATCTGCCTTACTGAATGCAGCTGATAACTGGCATATGGCTCTGGCCCCCTCTCTGCCTCCAACAGAGCTCTGCCTTATCAGAGCCTTCCCCAGACTCTAGGACTGGCCCATGTTCCTCCCCAACCTCCCCACTGTCCGAATCTGCTGCCAGCTCTGCTGGCCACTGGCAGGCCACAACAACCACTTCTAGTTTTGATTACTATTTAAACTATTTTCCCTATAGTTCCAAAGGAAATGCTGCAAAATTATTTTTGAAAGGTTTCTTCTGGAAAAGTAGTTGAGTTACAAGATAATTGGCTCAGCTTACAAAGACTTCTGCAATTACAAGGTATTGTGGGGGGAAAGAAATTTGGATTGGTGATGTCCTTGTTTGTCTTATATACATCTATGCTAATTTGCAAACTTAAATAGACATGTAGTCGTATAGTAGGAGGTTCTTTATAAATAAAAATTAATGTAAAATGTATAATTTTCTAGAATTTTAAAATAGTTTTCAGTCTTAACAATGTTCAATATTCTAATGTCTAATGTCTTTCAAATATTTTTTCTTTGAAAATAAATAACTTTAATAATAATATACCTGATGGGACCTGAATACTATCTGCATTGACAAAATCACTGTTGGTCAGTTGCAAAAGGCAATTTACTTGGAACAGCTTACATCTTGCTACATCTAACATTATTAGATAATGTTTGCCTATTCCAGATCCTTGGGCGCAGGACTCAATAGGTGTATAAAAATGCCAAATCCAGTCTAAACATTTGGCTGACTGTGTGCTCAGCAACAACAAAAATAATAATAGAAAAAGTGGGTAGCCTTGTAACCAACTAGCTGGAAGTAAGGATAAAAAATTAATGTAAAATTGAATTTAAATTAAAAATTTATAAATCTCTTAAAAAGCAAGTAAAGGCAAACTTTTCTTTTCTCATTTTACTGCAAAAGTCTGTAAAAGTACTTTGATAGCTTAATGTTTGACTCCTTCAGTTATCAGCCTGATTTAGTTAATGACTGGATTCCTAAATTATGTTAAGCCATATTAGGGTTTTCATGTTGAATTTGGAATCTAGTTATTGTAATATATAAACCATAGCATATTATATTGTATAAATAAGGAAGGTTGGTCTTCACTAACTAACCTATTTTTATCCGTTCTGGAAGGGGATATTGTCTTTGATTTTTTTTGGTCCTATTTTATTTATAGTATCAGTATAGTACACGGAAGCAACTGGAAACATTTTAGTGATTAATGTAGATTAATGGAATTGATTTAAAAGCATTACAAAAGAAGCTGGTAACATCTGTTTCACTGCTCAGGAACTTAATATTTCTACCATATTTAGGAAGACATGGTCTACTTGAATCAGTTTATATATTTCCTGACAAGCCAGCTATTGTTCTTTGAACATGGGGGATAGTCTGTGAATTTTGAAACTTATAAAAAGATTAAAAGGTCAGAAATCATTGTAGCCCAATTATTAACTGTATCCTTAATAACTAAGCTGCAATTAGTTTGTGGATACTATGGTTGCCATAAGACACTAGTATCAGAAGGGTTCAGTATGTGATTTTTATTTTGCTGACAGGAATTCTGGGAGTTGAAGTCCACACATCTTGAAGTTGCTAAAATTGAAAAACCTTGCCTTGGAGTAATAGTAGCTTGCAAAAACAAAAACTTATTCCGACATGCTTAAAACAGATCTTGAACTGTTTGCCTCTTTCCTGTAGGAGTAAAATGTAATAAATAAGGCATTTTGCTAGTAGGTCAACTGTTTAAATGTGATGACTTCTACCAAATGATTGTGCCTTTTTACTGGTAGTTTGATTAGGCTGCTTTGGAAAAATGCTTAGTTACTTTGAGTACTTGTACTTCCTTTTGTTTCTATTTATATAAAACCCTGCTGGCAGGAACTAGAAGGGGCACTGACTTTGAATCTGATATCATTGTTTTGAATGACTTCTTGAGGCTCACTAAGAAGTTAAAGGATCAGAAATGACTTTTAAACCCTCTTAGTTTAAACACTTAATCACACTTTGAAGACAGGAAACACAATAACCTCTGGATTTCATCAGTTTATTCAAGACAGTAAGTGCCCTACTTCACAATGCTGGCATCTAAAATGCCACTAAGATAAACATTTTCAGGCACAACTTGTAAATTTGTAATAGTAACTTTATTCTTGATTAGTCCACAAGCCATATTAAAATACAGAATATAAAACACAGAATGTTAATATATAAAATGGAATAAAAACAGATTTAAAAATGCAAATCATATTCATCACCCCTACAATTAACCCCCAACCAGGCCCACATTTTCAGATCTCAACTGCTTTATTCAAATAAAGGGCTGTTATATGTGATTTTTGAATTATGATCACATAAAATTTGATTTAATATAAGGATCCCAAGTGGTTGTTTATCTAATGTGCAGTCCAAGATACCGATATCTCTCTCTCTTATACAATTGTGCTCATCATTAAAATCATGTTACTTTATATATTTTAATCTTATTAAAATATGCTTTTAATCTTATTAAAATATGCAGGTATCAAGGAAGAAATTGTGTTAAAATTAATATCAACATTGCTGTCATTTTGTGTTTGGTTGGTGTTTGTACTACATGAGAAGTGTTGCATTCAGATTGTAGGGTAAAGAATAGAACTCAATTATGATTAAATAGGCTTTTTTCATAATTCCATTTTTATCTATTATTTTTAACAATGATTAAAGAGTCACATTAAGATGGCCTATATAACTTTGAATAATATAAATAATAAATTATCCAGTTAATGCTTATTTATAAGCTATGTATTTCTTGAATATAGTCAGACATCATGCCCTGTAATTTGCTTAGTCATAACTTATTTAGTAAAGCCTATTAGCTGAACTCACACAACACATTTTAAACATGCAGAATTCATGGTTTGCAAACCAGAATTGGTGATTCATACAGCAAGCCAGTTCAAAAGAAAACAACTGCATTTTGGCTTTTTATGATGTGCATGCTAGCCACACACAAGCTGATTTCCAGCTCATGTTAATTTGTTGAAAACCATGTACAAACTGTGGTTCTTAAATGACCAGATTAGAAACATAAACAAAATCAATACATTTTGGTTGAACACACAATAACTGCTGTTTTTAATTCTATATGGCTGCTGTTTTCAGGCCTGCCATCTCACAACTAAACAATTTAGTTTAACCTACTATAGTTCTTGCTATTACCATATTCAAACTAATATCTTGTGTGTGAAACAATTGTCCTCCAGCAGACTGGTAGGGGATGGCAAGAATTCCAGCCAGCACTCG